AAAGCTGCAAATATTGAGAGCACTTTACCTTGACTCAGCCATCTTACTTCAAAGTGGTAGAATATGTGACCGAATTTACTCTCAAATTCATCGAGCAAGGCTTTGAATTGCCGATGCTTTAACGGTCATCCGCGAATCAAATTCACAATACGAATGATCGTGCTCAAAACATTGTCAAGGTTGAGTGTTTTTGCAATCAGATTTTCCTTCTTTTTCACTACGTTATATATATATATCTTGCCCACGAGTACGAGTTTCCAAAGTCAGATTGACTAAAAATGCCTCCTTAGCAGAAAAATCAGAAAATACCACTATGGTGAACACTAATAAGTGCGGAGAGTCTGAAACATCGGTCGACTCATCCATTTGTAAGGAAACCTAGTCACATTTCTTGAAATCGCTTTTTATTTGGCCATGAATATCGTTTGGTAGGTCATCAGATAACTACACTTTTTTATTGCTGAGATTACGCTGTTTTTTTTGAAAATCCTGAAACAGGGATTCTGTCATGTCTAGCATAGAAAGATAAGAAGTGAATGAGTTCGTGAAAATTCAAAAATAAAAGCTTACTTATGTACCAAAAAAGCTTCCAATTGTTAAACTTTTCAATTCAATACAAAATATTCTGTTCATCTTCTTGTTTGCGGGCGCCTAAAACTTAGGTTGCGAGCTACCAGGGCCCTCGCGAGCTACCGGTTGGACACTACTGGGTTAGATAATGTGCATCTGGGCATAACAAAGCGTATCGCTGAGGATGGTTATCGGGGACCGGCTGCAGTGTTGACCAAGCTAGGCTGGGTGATTTACGGTTCAATGGGAAACGAGAATGTAGCGAGACAGCAAGTACTTTTGGTGCGAGAACACGCCGCAGATAAAACGCTCGAGGATGAAAGCATCGATGAGTTAATCAAGAACTTTATAGTAAGCGATGACTTGAGTGTGTCACCTACTGTCAAACATGTCGAGCCACAGGAAGAGGTACGAGCACGCGCCATATTAGAGAATACTACAGTTCGTATAGGCGATCGCTTTGAGATGGGGTTGCTTTGGAGAACCGATGAAGATATACCGGAGTACACGCGGGGAATGGCGGAACGAAGATTTAAATACAACGCAGAATTTAAGCACGAGTACATCAAGACGATGAGGCACTACTTAGAGAAGGGATATTCCAGGAAACTCACGAAAGATGAAACGCGGACAAAACACCCACGGATATGGTATCCTCCCCACTTTGGCGTTTACAACCCAAGCAAGACGGGGAAAGTACGCCTCGTATTCGACGCGGCAGCACAAGTCTCCGGAAGATCGTTGAACTCCTACTTGCTTAGCTGTCCAGATATGGGTAAACCAATGCTAGAGGTGCTTATGAAATTTAGGCAAAAACCCAAAGCCGTCAGCTCCGACTTCGAAGAAATGTTCCATCAGGTGGTAGTACGTGCGGAAGATCAACCGGCGCAAAGGTTTCTGTGGGGGAGAAGCCTGATGAAGAAATCGTAGAGTACTATATGCGCGTAATGACTTTCGGAGCAACATGTTCTCCTTGTGCCGCACAATTTATAAAAAATAAAAATGCATTTGAGTTTTCCGAGGAATTTCCCGATGCCATCAACGCGATTTTAAATATCCATTATGTGGACGATTTCGTTCATTCCTTTGCAGACGAGGAAGAAGCCGTGCGAATAGCGAATCAAGTGCGATGCATTCACCAAAAAGGCGGATTCAACTTAAAAGGGTTTATATCGAATTCGCGAATGGTCACGATGCTTTAAACGGAGGCCACGACTTCGGTGTACACGACTTTTTAGACTGTGCCAATGATGGACGACGTTGGTATAATTCGAGTGAATGGTCAATTTCAAAACGCTTACGCCGTTCCTCAACACACACGTCAACCCATAGTATTGCCTCAACGACACCACGTGACCAACCTAATCGTCGACTTGTAACATCGCAAATGGAAGCATCAGAATCAAAACACGATCATAGCTGAGTTGCGCCGCAAATACTGGATACCTCACATTCGCGAAGAAGTGCGAAAGGCAGGAAAAAGATGTCTGTCATGTGAGAGGGAACGGACAAGGCCCGAAATACCACAAATGGGGCAACTACCCGAGGATCGTCTCACACCCTTCGTTCGTCCCTTCTCGTATGTGGGGCTAGACTATATCGGGCCATTCACGATTGTGCCCGGCAGACGAACAGAGAAACGGTGGATCGCATTGTTTACTTGCTTGACCACGCGCGCCGTTCATCTGGAGATAGCTAGAGATCTGAGTGCCAACACTTGTTTACTTCGCGAAAAGAACTTCATGTGCCGACGTGGGACGCCAGTCCGGATAAGGTCTGATAATGGCACGAGCTTCATAGGCGCAGACCGGGAACTGAAACGACAGCTAAAAGAGTTTAAAGATGAAGAAAATCGCGAACGCACAAGCAAATCAAGGTATCGAGTGGGTTTTTAATTGTCCACTGAACCCACACGACGATGGCTGCTGGGAACGCGATGTAGTATGCACTAGCCAACGAGCAGTTACCGGTACATACACTGTACAGGGTAATGTGTGAAGCAGAAAACGTCGTGAATTCGAGACCCCTAACGCATATCCGCTTGGCGCTCTAACCCCTAACCACTTCCTCTTAGTTACAGCTAACCCCGAGCAGACACCACATCGTCAGGAGGAGTCCTTTAGAGCAACCAGGACACAGTGGCGGAAGATGCAGCAAATACACTATCGGTTTTGGAAAACGAGGCTGGCAGAATACCTCCTGATTTGTGTCGCAGGACTAAGTGGTGGAAGTCGGTGAAGCCGTTAACAGTAGGGGATGTGGTGCTGGTCTGCGACGTTCTCTGGTACTCGATGCCTCTACTCATTAAAAGTATCGGAGAGAAAACTCGATGCTACCTTAAGTATCGCAAGGAAATACTCGTTTCTACTTGTACTCGAAAGTACTTGGACGAGAAATCTAAGTTCAAAGGCCATATACCATATAACAACATACAGCGAAGAAAGGTTTATGACAAGCTGAAAATGCCTTTTTATTCATTCCTTTTTAATCGCGACTGCTAACACCAGGCGCCTAAATGCGTGATATGTACTGCTGCATTTGCAAAAATTTCCTTCATTAAATGTATGCAATTTTTGCACATGCACTTCTCAACTGCCATATAACAAAACTTTCTTAAGTTATAATTTGATGGCAGTTCAAAGGAGGTGGCAATAGTTGATTACCATTGGCTACAGTGCCTACCCACTACTTTTTGCTCCAATAAATATGTATATTTTTTAAATATAAATACATACATGCAAACGTACTGGTCCCCCTCTTAAACTATGTTCCCATTAGCGTAATTTAGAGGTCAATCTTAATTTACGCATAAATTAAGTACAATCTAAATAATTTCGCCTTGTAAAGTCTCTCAGTAAATTAAGTTGAAAGTACGTAGTTTATCTTAAACCAAGAACCAAATCACGAACAAATCAGTGTAGGCTCTAATTTTATCGATAATAATCGAAATAAGTATTGTCCCATAACTGATATGTCATTGTGTTTGGACGCTTTTGTTTTTAATAATCGCGCGTGGTAGTTTGTAAAATATTTCCAGAAGCTTTCTCTTTTGATCACTCATCTAAAATCTAAAAAATTACCACAAACAACTCAGAATATAAAAATATACGCAATTACTCACATTCGCGATCTCTTTTGGTTAAATAAACAATAACACAGGGTTGCTGCAAAGCTGTCAAGACAAAGAATCGCGTGTATGAACGCACTTAATTTAGTGAGGTATTTTATACGAAACTAAGTATTTTATTTTGGTATTGTGAACATAGTTTAACTGAGTTATTCATGGTCTTTCGAGCCGGATATGAACCAGCGACCTATTGATTTGCAGTTCCACAGTATTTTGAAATGGGGTTACTTGAAACTGGTGAAACAGGAGACGTTAAGTAATGAGAAAGCTGATCAATTACTTGTGTTTGATTCTTCTGTTTCAAAACGAATTCTGGCTGGCTCCACATCCTCCTCCAATTCGATACAACTTTTATTCTCCCCTTTCGTGCGCTCTTTTAGTTTTAACCCTCGCAAAATCGAGTGGAACTCATCTTGAATGTTTTTTTTTTTCAAAAATAAGAACACAGAACTTTTTTCAGTTGATTTTCCCAAATTTAGCAAACAAGTAAATACTAGCACTTTGTACTCGATACCCATGAAGTACTTGTACACGCGCATCGAAGTACAAAAAACACTCGGTACTTGGTAGAGGTACTCGAGCATGATCCAACTATACAAGATCTGACAAGATGAAGCAAAAGAAAAAAGTAATTTTCTGGCTGACGTTTGTAATTTCGGCGCCATGTTATTTTCTTTGAAAAGTAAACAAAGAATATGAAGACGAAGAGCATAAAGAAAAAATTCAAGCAATTTTGCAGCACATGTTTGTGCTAACCAAATTATTATTTTGTACGTGTTTTTCCCACCAATCACCGCGCACTTCATTTTAATTACATTTGCACAAAAAATTTATTGAAAATCGCTTAAAAATCACTGAAATAAACCACCGACAAAATACACATAAAGAAAGAAGAAAAACAGAAATAACAAGCTTCAAAATTACGAACGTCACACACTTTTTTCTCAATTGCTATTATAAATGGCAGCTTCTCAACCGGTCAGATCTGTTCTAATTAGTTCATGGTACTCGAGTATATACTTCTAGGTACTGGTATCGGAACATTACTAAGCACTTCACGATTTCATGAAATTATGCCGAAATTCATGGTTAATTTTCATGTATAATTGAATTCATGAAATTGCATTTATGCAGCCAATTTCGACCCAAGTCGATGAAATGGTTTCGTGAGTTGGCCTGCGCATAAACGTAGTAACAATTGCAGTCTTTTGGTATTCCCCGTTTTGTATTTGTTTTATGTGTTGATTCCTGTATCAAGCCATATGTATTATTGTGAACGACTCATTTGCTTAAAGAAGAGTTATTGCAGAAATGAAAAAAGCAAAATGTCGATCGGATTTTAACATTGGTTGTGAGTGAAAAACGAAGAAAAAAATATATTAATTTATTTATAACTCAATTGTAAAGTGATCTTCTTAAACACAAACCATGGGCTCAGAGGATACCGAGATGGCTTCTGGTGAAAAAATCCAAAAGGGTTTTCAAATCAACTATATGATCCTCCGCGATGCAGATTCGGGAAAGGTTATTTGGCAGGAGAACAAGGACTTTTCGTCACCAGATGTTGAGCATGAAGCGCGTGTGCCAATCAAAATATTGGATTTGCGGGCAGTGTCTCGTGAAATTAACTTCAGCACAATTGAACCAATGGAAAACTTTCGCCTTGACCAAAAAGTACTTTTTAAAGGTCGCATAATGGAAGAATGGTTTTTTGAAATGGGCTGGGTTGGCGCAAACACTACAAACACTTGGCAATCGACAATCGAAGC